CTTTCCCACAAGAGACAGTCCTTCACAAACTGCTTCAGTGTGGGTCCCCTACAGGACCACAAGTCCTGCTGGCAAACCTCCTTAAATTTGTTGTCACAGAGGTGTCATAACACATTTACACTTCTTTTGTGTCAGCTTGTCTATTTTCCTGTACTCTTTGTTCTTTAAGCATCATTAAATCCTAGACAATAGCCAACTGAGGACAATGGGAGGATTCCTATTGGTTTTGATTGGGATAATGTGACATAAATTCAGACATTAAAAGAACCCCAAAGCATTCACCAAAAAGTGTTCTGTTTGGTTGTTGGTCTAAAAGACTTATGATACATTGATTTACAAAGGTTGGTAACACCTTGTGTAATTCATAGAATCATAGAATGGCCTAGGCTGGAAGGGACCTTAGAGATCATCTAGTCCAACCTTCCCTGTTGTGGGCAGGGATGCCACCTCTCAACTAGACCAGGCAACACATGGGGACCGAGCGGGAATCGAACCCGCGACCTTGGTGTCGGTCATTGTTGTCAGCACTGCGCTCAAACCACTGAGCTAACTGGCCCCCTAATTCCAATCCATCTTGCTCTTAAAATACAGTTTAGATATAGTTGAGTAGAAAAAAAAATGTTGATTTTAAAGATGGGTCATTTCAACTCAAAGCAGAAATGAAAATGCTAATAAAAATATCTTTTAAGCTAAGACAAATTACTAAAAGCAAGGGATACAGTTTTAAAGGCAGTTACTAGAGTGAATGCCTTATCTCCTCTTCAGAAAATTGCCTTGAAGACCACATCAGTGCTCCTGAGATGTCGGATGTTCTTCAATACCTAATAAAGAACATACTTCCATATAAAGAAAAGAAGCTGAAGTGGTACAAGAAATTGCACATGAGCTTTAGCCATCCTGCATAAACCAAGTCTATGGACAGTGGCTAATGAAGCCCCTTAACAAAACATATCTATTGGCAGCTGATATTTCTGCTTATTTGACCTTGCCATTGAGAAGATTTATAGCAAAAGCACCTCCTGACTGCCATCTTCTGATATTGCCAGCTCTAGAATGCTAGGTTTAAGGTTGCACACAGTCTAACTAATTTCTGTAGTCCAGATAATTTAGTTGAATTTTATGCTTTGGTAGCGAAGTAGGTACTATTTGGCAATTTTGATTCTGCTTTTTATCAGTGGATCACCATAGTTCAAGGAATTGATCCGGTGATAATCGATATGATTTTTTAGCATAACAATTACTGTTTATAAATTCAGAGGAAAAGAAGGAAGAAGGAAGGAAATGCAGCTGTCCTGGGGACAGAGAGTACACTTATAAAGCATGTGGGATGGGTGAGAGCAGAAGATTACAGGGACATTTTGAGGAATGGCTGGGGATGTTCAAGATTCCTCCCAGTGCCTCCAATAATTCATGTGCAATTCTCTGGTTACATACATTACTCAGTTGACCATTGCACTTATATTGTTTAAAGTATGCAAAACATCTGTGAGAGAAGAATGGTTTGGGTAAAAATGTTTGTCTACATTTAAAAGAAAATAAGCGGGTATATCTATTTTTTATTACCTTGTCATATCTTCTTCCAATTTGTTAAGAATATATAAAGATGAATTAACTCCAGAAACGTCTTCTGAGAAAAGAAGAAAATAATAAGTATTTTTAATAGAGGAAGTTTTAACACAGCTGTTTTCCTGCATGCTGTTCAGCATGTTTTGAATTGCTACATCTTTTGAATCAAGGTAATTTTAATGAAAGGAGTGCGATGACTTCAAGCTTCTACCTATTCAATTACAATGGTTATAGCAATATAAGGTTAGTCATAACTCCACTGACTATACAAAATAATTTGTGTAACTTGAGATTAAAAGGTCTTCCTGAGCATTCTTTAAATGTTCAATTTGTTTTCTAATTTTTTGAAATTTTTTTTCCTATAATGACAAAACTCATTAAAAATACCCATCTCAACCCATTGTGAAAACATTGGTTATAATGTTGATGTTGGCCCTAAACTTTTACTGCCTCACATGAGAACTCAGTGACAAATGTTTTGAGAAGACTACAGCTGCAGCATTTTGCATTGCACTGTAAAAATCTGGTAAATTTAATGTACTTGGAAAGGAGTAAATAATAAACTACTTGTTTTGATAAAGGCAGTGTTCCCATGTTTCTGCATCAAAGCAGCATAATAAGAGCAAAAAGAGATACAGGCGAGAACATAGTCACATCCTTTATTTTTTTCTGTATCACCATAGGCTTTAATAAAAGTGTATAATAAAAATTTATTAGATAATCCTTCAGGCAACAAAGCTGTTCACAAGCTTAACATCAGATGTATGAGTTCAGAGAAGAATGTAATGTGGTCTAACTGTGACTTGATACCAAAGTGACAGTGTGACTCTTCCCTCTGGTATCTGGCAGTGTATGCCTGCCTACCTTTGTGTTTGATTTTGTACTTCTGATTCACCAAATGATGCAATCCAACAAAGTGACCTCATAGAAAATTAGTACTTCTATTTTTGGTAGCGAATTTTCTGTTAGGTCTGCTAATTGATCTGATTCAACTTGTGAACTGTAATTGTCAGATTTGATGGAAGGAAATCAATAGGAACTCATGCTGAGGAGATGGAAAACCAGCCTCCTTCTATTTATCACAACCACAGTTAAACACTATTTGTTGAATATGCACTATAGTGGATAATTTTAAAAAAAGTATTTCTATTAGGACAAACAGAAGAGTTACTAATTTGCATCATAGTATAGTAGCAAGTTGGGGTTTCTGACATCATTATTTCCTGTCAAGATGTTTAATTCTGCCTGGATCTTTTCCAAATATAAGCCATTGCTCTTTTCATAGCAGATATGTTCTTACCTGTAAAACTTGAGTTTCCAGAAGCAACAAAGCTATCAGTCATCTCACCAAAAATTATCATCGCAATAGGGAGACTGCTTCCATGGGCTATTGCCAGGAGAGTGCCTAGTATCATTAGTAATTTATCTGACCAACTGGAGTATCGAAACTGTGAGTGAGAAGAGAAATTAATTCTACCTGTGGTATTAGAATGAAAATCCAGTATTATGTCTACAAAGTCAAGAAAGCTAAGACAAAGCTACCAGTTGTTCACCTAGTGTCACAAAACTATAGCTTTATCAGATTAGAAATTAAGTTTATAAAGCAATTTAAATGTATAAGAATATATTTTTCTAATATAAGCACTTTTATACTATAAACTCTCAAAACTAAAGAAGTGTACCATTTTAGCGCACCAATATCTGCAGCATACACAGCTCTGCAACTGGCTAAGAAAGACCATATGAAAACTAGGCATAAAAAACTTGACCTTTTCAAGTTTGCCATTTAAAGTTCAAATTATAGGGAATTTTAATCATATTGTGATAATTTAGGCAATAATTAATTTTACTATAAATTCACTACTATGCAGTCAGAACTGTTCGTAATGTATCATGGACATTATCAAAATGTACTGAGATCCTATACACCTCTTACCATTGAACTAATAAAGTTTAATCTCATCTATTGCAAAATCACTGGCTTTGTAGTGTAAAGTATTAAGTTCAGTGTTGTAAATTATAGTGGTATTATGTCATTATACAAGTGCGAGCTGGTACAACAAAGCAGAGAAATGGAGATCTGGTTAGCATCGCAGGCTATCGTTTCATTTCTGTTATTTGCTGTATCATTGCTGCTCATTGTGCACACTAAACCTACAAAATATAAAACATTTGAGTATTACTAAAAGAGAACCTAAGATTTACTTTCATGAAGTATTAATGGATTGCCTTTATAAAAATATACAGAAAATAAATTATTTCTGAAATTTATAGTTCTTTTAAATACAGAATTTTTAAGTTTCATCAGTGACATGGAGTTGCCCTTTACTGCTGACTTGGGTGACTGAATAATGGTTAATAGGGCTAGTTCGTGTGATTAGTACCTGACCTGGGTAACCTAGAGGACAAGACCACACATAATCTAATGTATGAACAAACATAGAAAACCCTACCTTTCACAAATAAAATTCTAATATGGGTGTGTTTAACACGGTAACTTACTAAGGGAAGACTCCTAAGAATACGTAACAGCAAAGAAGATAGACAAAAAGAACTGCTTGATTGCTGCACTATATCCAGTATTCTGTAGTATCAAACCAGTTGGTAGAGATAAGACCATATATGAAGTACTCCCACATAATTCTAACCGGTTTTTCTTTATGCTTTGAAATATGTGTGCCTGTATATATGAATAAATCCTACCAGTGTCAATGGGCTGACCATCTTAGCTTTTTCTTTCTTCTTCTTCTTTTCCTTGCTTAAAAGAGATGATAGTTTTAGTACATTTAAAATGCAACAAAAGTTCACAGAAAGACTAACGCAATGTATTAATGAATTTCAATTAAAAAACAATTATGAATTAATTTCACAGGAAACAGTTGTGTGCAAAATAATTTATGATTTATTGAGCATCCTTAAGGTATTTGCATTTAAACCTCCAGGTATATAAACAGCATCGGCTCCTGACTGCTGTAAATTTATATCAAACAACACCCACAATGGCTGGTGATTCCACTTTCTGATCAGGGAAGTTGTGAACTGAAACAGTATAGAGATTTCAAAACAGGAAAGAGGAAGATAACATAAAATCAAATTTTTGCACATGGGGGTGGGGAATACTTAAAACATTCAAGGTATGTAAAATATTGATTCCCTGCCATACAAAAAACTTTAAGGTATTTTTTAGCTGATGACATAACTGTATCCAACATGTCTGTATCAATTTAATTTCTGTCATATTTTAGAATTGCTTTTCAATAAACTCTAGTCAGTACTATGGACACTTAGTCTTCAAAAGAAAAAGATAAATGGTCCTCCCGCACCAAATGAAAGTGTCAATCAATGCTACTCTCAAGCTGATACAAAGCTTTCTGTCAGTACGCTTTCCTGATAAAATAAAGCAAAATAAAATAAAAGATGAAATTTAATAAAATCTAAAACAAGATAACGTAATCTTACAAGTTTCAAGACAGAACATGTTTACAATCTTTATGAATACTCACTGTTGGTCTTCAGATTCATGACCCTGACTGGATACAGTACTCTTATGACTATTTCCATCCTCAGTACGCCTCTGCTGCTTTTCATCTTCAGAACGCATTTTAAATTTATTTAAGATAGTTCCCTGTGAAATAATATTTGACTGAGAAATACGCAACCATGAAGCCAAGGATAGTACTCTCAATGACCGTTTGTTTGAGAGAAAAATATAGATACTTATTAAAATCAATAAAGTTACTAATGTTACACATTACAAATAAATCCTCATAATGGACCATTATAAACATGTCCAGATATTTGAAGTTTGCTTGCAAACATCGACATTTTGTATTTGTATCTCTTTGATAACTGTAGGTCCTTCATTTAATTTCATTTAAATGATATAACCATTATATTTTCTGCAATTCAGCACATATACAAACTAAATGAGAAAGTAGATGTTTATTTAAAGGAATATGCATTTATTTGGAAATTCCCAATTTTAGGTATCAATGAATGTTATGATTTAAAAAAAAAACAAAAACAAAAACGAAAAAAGTACTGGCATACCGTGAAGGTTGTTCTTGTCTTGCGTCTAGTCCTCTGCAAAATTAATCAAAAACTCAGTAGAACTAATATGGTTAAGTACACGCAGCATGATTGAACTTTGCTCCTCTTATGTAAAACAGAGATGATCAACAGCTTTCTCTTGGTTTTTTTTTGTTGGTTTTTTTTTTTTCCCCCATTCCTATTGCCTTGCCTACTTCGGAGAGTAAAGTGTATGCACTTTGGACTCTGCCTCCCTTCTCCTAAAGGGAATATTTAGAAAACAAAGTCCTTAAACACGCACTTGTTTCATTGTTACTGGGGAAAATAAGCCCGAATAGTCTATTCTTCCAACAGGAGAAGTTCCCCTTGTCTACTGCTAGCTTAATTGTGCCCCTTAAAACTCCCTTAAAACTTCTTTACCTTATTAGAGATGATGCTGAATGCTTCAAGTATCTGTTGCACTTAGGGGTGAATCCATTCCTGAATACACAGTGCGAATGAAACCAAGTAACATAAAAGGAATGTTCACTCTTTCACTTCTTTTCCCTTCTTCTAAGTCTAATCCAGAAAAACATGACCCATATAACCTGAAAGAAAAAAGGATTTTACTCTAATGTGTATCATTTCTCATTTGACTAACTGCAGAACAGTAAAATGAGTTTCTGACTTGGTTTAGAAATGTTACTGTAGCAGAAATCTGCTCAATCCTTCTGGGTTTTTTTAGTGCATGTTCGGGTTCTAAACTCTTTGAAATGGACCATCTATTTTATTGTGGAATGTAATATTTTTATCAATATCTGTAGGCATTGCTTCAATTAAAATAATAACAAATATTTAAAGTAATTAAAAGAAATTAATTGCCCTTGTCAACTTGTAAACTAGATATATTCAACACTTTTGAGAAGTAAAATTTATGAAAAATTAAGTAAAAATCCTTGTTCTAGAAGACAAGTGGATTTATATGAATTTCTCTAAAGGTATCATTGCTTTATTCAACTTACTTAATCTGATCATTAACCAGAAGAGATAAGTTTTCTTCTTTTTAGTCATTTATGTCTGTAATCTCAAAATGTTGATAAAACTGGGTATTTTTACAGTGTTTTGGAATACAAAGAGTCTTATCAGATTGAGGGTTACTTTAGAAAGGCTAGTTAACCACTATCCGTACAGCAAAATATAAAAGATCAGTAAATACAAATATAATCTGTTTATGAAAAGTCATCTTAAGATATTTGCATAGACTTTTACCTACAGCAGCTAATAGGAATATTTCTGGGTTTTAACTTGTGTGTCTAAGTGCTTTGCTGAACTTGATCTTAATGGACTGGTCCAATTATTTCAGTGGGAACTACATAAAGTTGAATGAGAGATTCTAGAGAAAAGTTATTGAATTTAAACAAATAAAAGAGTATATAGAGGTATTTCACAACTGTTTCAGCTTAAAGGGAAAATGGACAAAACTGTAAGTTCTGTCAAAATGTTCTGTTATCTCATCATAATGTTGCAATGCTATTGCTGTACAATCATGATAGTTAATCAAGAAAGTGTGATAGAAATAAATCAGAATAATAATTTTAACCAGAGTTTCTGTTGCATGCATACACTAGTGCAAAGAAAATGAAAGACTGTTTTACAGCTGGTTTTATCACACTAGGAGCTGAATCAACTAAATTGATACTTAAAGAGTGGGAAACCTGGGAAAGTACAATAATTTACCTCTACTCAGTATGCAACAAAATTCTGTTATTTCTCTATAGCTTCTGTATTTGACATTCCAGTGACACAAATTCCTAGCTGCACAGAATTTCAGGCTGGAAAAAGGTCACTAAATCCTTCTTATAACTTCCTGTATCTCATGGTTTGCTATAAACCATTTAGATATTTCCATGTTAAAACAGGAAAATTAACCTAGATTATATCAATTCAGTCAGAGGAGATTAAATTTCTGTCATAAATCAACAACAGAAGAATCTGAGTCATCACCACTGTACATCACCTGCACTTGGGTATATAAAAACCACATAAGTCAACACAGTAGCCAGTTCGCAACCTATTTCTCTTGAGTTATGTGGTAAATGTCTTAAGAGATTTTAGCCAGTTGAAAATTCTAGAAAGTGACTCATAGGATCAAGAATGTTGACTCTGTCTAAATTGAAGCCTTTTTATGTGGAAAACATTTAATTTTGCTTAAAAGACTGCTAGGGTTCACAAGTTCATTGCATCTATTGGCTTGCTGCTTCTATGCTCCATTTCCCTTCATGGAAATTGTTTAGTTCAAGACAGAAGAGCACCTCTCAGGTATTCTTACCTCTGTGAGGATTTCGATTGTCAAACATTTTTTTCTATCTGAAAATATGTATGAATATTCATAAAGTCTCTTCAACC